TCTTATGTCCGTGCAAATTCATCTTTCTCAAGGGGGGTAGTTTAATGACCGCGCTATTTTGCAAACCAACCTCCTTCAATGCTGTTCTAACCATCCTTATCACATGATTAAATCAAACCTGAAGTCCTAATTTTTGCACAAAAGATGACTTTCCATGACATAAAAGATTATTGGAAGCATGCTAATGATTTCATTTGGCTTTACATCCAACATGGCTATCAAGAGTGACTCTTTTTGTTTTGACTGAAATAAATAGCCAATGAAATAGCTGAAAAGAAAAATTGCCATAATTTTGTCCCAGATCAAAACACTGAAAAGCACAATGATAATAATAATAATAATAATACTTTGTATAAAATAATATAATTAATAATGTGTACAGTAAGGTGTTAAACTACAAACCAAAATCTTCCCGTTACATGTGATATTTATTTTAGCTGTTGTTAGTCCTCAAGTGATGTGGTTTCTCTTATCTGGTGTAGTTCTTTCCTTGTGATTCTATAGTGCTTGTCCACAATGTTCAATGAAGGACAATCTCTGTCTAGATCAATAGGTTTCATTCACTCAAAGCTATTTTTAACTTTTGATAGCAGTTATAGCTGATATGATATCCATATGAAAGGCTTGATCTGACAAGACTATTTAAGAACATGACTTCACTTTTCGGGTTAATGTTTTAGTTTTGTATCACCTTGCAGTGTTCTTGTCCTGGGTAAGACGTTAAACTACATCCAGCAGCAAGGCCTCTGATCAGGAGGTTTTGAAGAGCGTGAAACCATCTCTTTCTTGCTGGTGTTCCTAGGTCCACCCTCACCTGGGGTGGTAGCACCTGTTAGGGTCCCTGCTATTGGCAAGTAGTTAACTATTACCAGCAATACTTTGTTGAAAAAAAATTATTAACAACAATACAATTTTGAAGGAAATATATTACCAGAAACAGATTTTTGACAAAACAAAATATTACCAGCATTAAAAAATTTTGTCAGCATTAAATAACCCATTGGGGTTGATATGCCATTAAACAAAATAAACTAAACCAATCTAAACCAAAGAATACATATTCTATTCATACGAATCTCTCCTAAAAATGTTGTTGGCATTAAATAACCCATTGAGGTTGATATGCATAAAACAAAATAAACCAAACCAATCTAAACCAAAGAATACATATTCTATTCATATGAATCTATCTTAAAAATGTTGTTGGTATTAAGTAACACATTGAGGTTGATATACCGTTAAACAAAATAAACCAAACCTAATAATATGTACAATATAACAGCTGTTTAATCTACTGGTATGTAGTATTGTCAACTTATATGAAAACTTATTTATATAAGGTTGGAATCAGACATATTCCACAGATCTGAAACAGTGACATTTCCAATAATCAAAATGGAGGTTGACAGCACTTTGGAACCAAAATTAACATGTGCATGCATGCATGTGTGTGTGTGTAGAATAGGAGGCAAAAATCAAAGTGAATGGAAGGTGAATTTTTTTTTTTTTTTGGTTTTTAGTCTTCACTTTGCCAACTGATAAAACTTTCAGAAATTATCTTTAAAATATTGTTAAAAAAAACTCCATATAAAATATTACTAAATCAAACAAGAGTGATAGTGTTTGTTTGATCATTTCATCATTTTTTCAAGGAAAAGCAATAAAGCCACTAAGATGCAAGGAGTTACTGAGCTGAGAGAATATGAGTAAAAGAAAACATCACATGAACAGGAATTAAGAACATAGAAGATAACGACTGTTAGTCCATTTAAATTTTTGATGATCAAAGTTGACTGGAAAGCAAAAGACTGAAAAAAAGTCCCAAAAGCAAAAAGTGCAAAAAAATAAACTCTTAGAATATAAGTTATGGTTACATTTAAACTTTTCAATCATAAAATGATGAGATTCCACTGCCAATTTAATATATCACTTAAATTCCTCAAGTTTAGGTACCAAACCCTGAGGTTTTTAAATTTTGTGTTTTTTTTAAAATAAAATATTTGCATTACATTACTCATATTTTGTTAGCCAATTCAAATACATATAATTCAAAATTTATAAAAAAAAACGTTTTTTTTTTAATTATTTCACCCCAAGCAAGTCAATGAAACACACTAAGACTAAGAGAGTTCCACAAGTGAGAAAATAAAGAAAGGAAACTGTTAGCATAGAACTTAGTCATTATTACACTACTATCATACTAAGTAGTTTATAAATAATTTCTATAGATTAAATGCATATTAACTTTGTGATTAAATAAAATTATGTATTTTTTAAATGAAAGTGTCTCTGGTATCTGTCTATATTTCTGAGATGAGGTATTATGTACACTATTTACATTATTCAGACTATTGTCCTCATCTTTGTCGCCATGTTTATCACAACAAAATAACAACAAAAGTTGCAATATGAGCTCTGATAAAAAAAAAAAATTCAATGATAACAGCAAAAATTGCAATATGAGCACTGGTAAAAAAAAGATGCTGAAGACATGAGGTTTATAATACCCAGAAATTCATACACAGATGTCCTCAAGGACACGTGGCACAGTAGATAAAGGCGTTAGATCCAGTGACAGGCCCAAAGAGTGTGAGTGGAGAACTTTGAGAGGGGAATTAACAGGAGATAACTGACATCCATTAGACATGGCACGTGGAGCTAGAACAGTCTACCCCAGTGAGTGAAATAAAGGATTCAGTTCGACATTCGAACCACCTGAAGAAGGCTGGTGCGTACAACAGCCAAAAATGGTGACAAAGGTGAGGAAAATAGTCCAAATAATGTAAATAGTGAAAGTGTCTCTTGTTTTGTTTTTTTATTTGAAAGTAAATCATCATCAATCCTATCAAACCTTGTTTTTGTCCAAGGTTTACCTATTGTATTTCATGTTGGGAATATCAGTTATAGAAAAGAATTAACACTCTTTATGAGAATTTACAATATCTTTGGGGACTTATTTTTACTAATATTATTACAAGAATAGTTTTCATGCCAACAACAAATCTATCCTCTGAAAATGAATCAGGCATTGTAACCTTATTACAGAATCAAAGTTTTTGCTCATTTCTCATTACAGTGTCGGCATGCTACATGAAAATGCAGCCATGTCCTATATGCCTTCCTGCATTCACACCTGTCTTAGCAATGTTCACAAATGCAAGAATGAAATGTTAATTCAGTGATGTGAGATTTCAGTTAACAGTGTTATGATGCTGAGTTAACTACAATAAATATCAGCTGGTACTTCATATCAGTTGGAGATACGAAAATCAAGCAAGTACAACTATTCTATTTAAATATCTAGGAATTGATTTAACACGGGATGATTAGTGCAACACCAAAATCTGCAGGTGTATCAGGATAGCAAAAGATGTCTTCCGAAAGCTAAGCAAAATATTAAGAAACAGGAAAATTTTGTTGGAAACAAAGAAAAGAGTCTGCCTATATCTCTGAGATGAGGTATTACGATTACTTGCATTACTTACATATTTTTGGACTCAAAAACACTCATCTTCAGTGCTGAACCAAAACTTGGAGAGTTGAGTTAAAGGGAAATAACTGAGATATCTGGAAGAGGCATGGCATGTGGAATTAGAACAATCTACCCCTGTGGATGAAATAAAGGGTTCAGTTTGAAATTTCAATCACCTGAAGAAGACTGGAGTGTACAATGGCCAAAATGTTGTGAGATATGGCAATGAAGATGAGGATAACAGCCTAAATAATCCAAGTAAAGATAAGTGCTTAATTGTCATATAATATCAGTGTTCCTATATCCTGGACAATCTTCTATACTTACCTGGCGTTATGCTGGGGGTTTTGACAAATATTGGATCGTTTCTTGGCCTTTGGCTGAGATTCGATCAAGGCTTCGATTAGCTTGAACTGGCTCCGGCCTGGACTTGCTAGGACAAGTCATGACCAGCTTTGACTAAGCTCTGACCAGCTTGGACATGCTTTGACCAATTTTGACCAGTGGCCTTTGAGTGGAAACACTCGGCTTTTCCACGTTAATCAACCTTGTGTCACATCTTGACCTTGTGGGAGTCAAGTAAATACCTATATCCTGGACAATCTCCTCACAGATGAAGAAAAAATTTGAAGCAACAGAAATATGGTTCTGCAGAAGAATGCTGAGAATACAATGGACTGACTATGTGCACAACAACAAAATTTTAGAGATAATGGAAATCAGTAAATGACATCTGAAATTCCTTAGATACATGAAAAAGGAGGGCTTGAAAAGTTGACTCTGACAGGACATATTGAGAGTATGAGAGATAAGGGAAGACAGTGAGTCACCTACCTGGTAAGTTTTTGTGTATGGATTGTAGAACGAGGGGGGTGGGAAGGGGCCTTAGTAAAGGGAGAAAACCTGCAAATTGTGAACAGCCATGATTGTTGATGTCCTGTAGCATATAGAAGTAGAAATTGCATGAATAATAACTGAGCAATATTAAATAAGAATAAGAAGTCTATAGACATGGACAGTGGAATGAGAGTAATCTCACCCTATAGATTCAATAAAGTGTTTCATTCAAAATTTCCTGAACTTTGCTCAAATTAACAACCACTTGAAGAAGGCCAAAGGACACAAAGGCCAAAATGTTGTGATAATTACAACAAAGATGAGGAAAAGAGGTCAAATTGTAAATGTTTTAGATACTAATAATTTTATTTTTTTTCTAAATTACGTTTTAATCTTTTGAAACATATTTTGCGAAGAAGTTTTTTTATTGATTGGTTCATTTGTTTTTCACAGCTTATCAACCCTTTTCACATTATTTAAAGCCAGAAAATATTTTTACATTGTAAGAATAAAATGATTTACTGATATAAGTCCTACTAATTAACCCACAGCTGGGGGAGAAGAGGTGGATTCATACCTTTCCCAAGGGTATTTGCACATAAGTGAATATAAAAACCCAACTGGAATATAAACTCGGTTCTCCAATTAACAATTCCAAGCCATTATCCATTACAACACCCACACATCCAAGCTTACAGCACTTTGTATTCCCAAGTAGTCACCCATCTATGTACTGACCAGTCTCAATGTTGCTTAATTTCAGTGTTCATATGGGAACTGGTCTTTTAGTGTAATATGGCTATAAGCCCAAACATTTTGTTAACTGTGACAACTAGTGGTAGGATTTAAGACTTTTTAAGACTGGGGCAAAGCATTCACATTGGAGCGATGTGTTCTTGAAATTCAATTGACAAAAAATTTACAATGTCAAAAAAAACCTGTTCTTCATTTCAAAGACAAAATATTTGAGATAGAAAAGAATAACTTGTTCCTTAAATCTTTGAATCCCATCCACGGGGGTAACCATGGATAAGTCAAGACATTGAAAGTGGAAACTTCTTCCAACTTCGTGCTTTCCAGTCAACTTTAATCTTTAATTATTAAAAAAATTAAAAATTAAATGCAATGTCAGTTGCTATCTACTGTCCGCCTGATTACTTTTTTTTCACTTTCTGCTTATTACTAATATTTCTGTTCCTAATTCTTGCAGCTGGCTAGATGTAACTGTAAGTTCTATGCTAACAGTTTATTTTCTCACACTTCTCACTTGTGGAATTCTCTTCTGTCTCCATGCTTTCCAGTCACCTATAATCTTCAATGTAATGTCAATTGTTATCTACTGTCTTCCTGATTACTCTTTCCTTTGTTCTCACTCCTTAATAAAGTTTCTTTGTTTTCTTATTTCTCTCACACACAGTAACTACCTCAGTGGTTTTATTGCCTTGCTTGGAATGAACTCCATTGAAAAGAAAAAGAGCTTTTGGTCCTGATGATTGTTAGGAGATCTGTAATAAACTATTGACATATATTGTATTGCAAAGAACAAAAAGATATACCTGCAATTTTTTTCCTTTGTCTATCACCAGAGATTCCCTCTGTTGAATGCACATTATCTTGGAGGTATCACCATAAAAGGTACATATAGTATTTTTTGGTTTCAATGCTAAGTGAGTTGCATTCTTGCTCACTCGTCTGCACTTGGTATTGTACAGAACCAATTATATGAGCAAAGAAAAGAATGCTTGCTTGCGGGTAAGAATAAATTTACATCAAGCCCCACAATGGTGTGAAATAATTACTGATAAAAGCATCAAAAAGATATTCGTAGCATCAAGATATTTTTTTTTTAAAGCATTTTTTGTTGAATATTTTTAGAGTAATTTTCAGACTATAAGGAATTTGAAAACAAAAACAATTTCTCTCTTTGTGTTCAAAGCAGAATAATAGATTTTCCATTTTTTTTTTTTTTTTTTTAATGAATTTTTTTCTTCCTCTCAGAATTGATAGTGGAAAATAAAAAAAAAAAAACAATAAAATGCAGTTGGGGTGTTAAATTAGTAAGTTTTGAACATAGACAATGAACAGAATAATTTTTATATACATTTTTATGGAATCACTTGATAGGTTAGATTCTACCCCCGCCTCTCACACAGTCTGTTTTTTTTTTTTATTTTATTTTAAGAAACAAAAAAGTTTTATGATCAACTTGCTGCCATCAGATGAATGCATAAAATTTCCTTTTTTTAACCTTGCAAAATGTTCACACCTATTCAGACATTTTCATTCCCAATAAAATTGTATAAGTATTTGGGTAACACTGTGTGCATACACATTTAATACACAAGGGTACACAAAGTGATATGTATGTGAGTTATATATATTTTAAAGCGAAGAGAGAAGCTGCAAACGTTTTTGGTTTTAATGTGGATTTTTTAAAAATATATATCATACTTTATTTTCCTATTTTTGCTACAAACATTTCAGGTCTTTCTATCTTCATCAGGCAAAGAGTGGTTATTTTCAAATATTATTTAAAGGAATTAATTTTTCCTTATGTTTTCCGATGTTTAACCATTGTCTTTTGTGTATAGTAGTAATCCAAATTTTCTTGGACTTGTGTAGAAGATATTCTTCTGCTTAAGGTGTAATAAAACAATTAGGTTTGGTCAGAGAAAGGGGAAAGAAGGGGGTCTTTGTTCTTTACTTTTTATGACCCCTGTATCTATTTTAAACTGATCTCCATTTTGTGTATTGTGTGTGTGTGTGTATGCGCATTTTTGATAGTATATATATATATATGATAAAAAGGCTTAAACACTGATATTCCATGGTCATAATTTATTCCAGTGGAATCATAAATATGACCCTATTCATCAGACCTACAAAAATTCTTTTTGAATCTGTTTTCTTTTTGAATTTGTAGGTCTGATGAATTGGATCATATTTACGATTCCAATGGAATAAATTATGACCATGGAATATTAGTGTTTGAGCCTTATATATATGTGATATATTGCTTGCTTGCGGAACTCACTTTCATCCATGATTTCCAGTTAACTTTAATCTTCAGAAATTTAACTGCAGTGTCAATTGTTTTCTACTGTTTTCCTGATTACTCTTCTATTGATCTTGTTCCTTAGTAATGTTTTTGCTTTCTTTTCTTTCACACCCAATAATCCCTTGTATCTTAGTGGCTTTACTACCTTGCTTGGGATAAATCCGGTTAAAAAAATATGTAAAATCTGTTATCACTTTCCTTATTGACCAATATGCATCTGATTATTTTTTTTTTTATCATTTCACCCCAAGCAAGGGATACCACTAGTAGACGCGGGGGTATGGTGTGAAGGTGAAAGAGAATAGGGAGGATTGAGAAAAGAATAAAACATGAAGAATATTCAAGATTTGATTGACATTGCATTTAAATTTATGAAGATTGGAGTTATCAGGGAAGCAAGTAAGTGGAAATGCATTCCACAGGGGAGAAGTGCGAGAAAAGAAACTGTTGGAATAGAAGTGGCAGTTGCATTTAGCTATTTCAACATTAACAGAGGGGATCTAACTGCCAGTCTAGTAGCAGACTTAAATTCATGTAGTTGGGGCACAAGGAAAAAAAATGTTTATCAGAGCAGTTGCCATGAAAATATATATAAAAAATGACAGAACGAAGCGACATCACGTCAGTGAGAAAGGGACCAAAGTCGAGATGCCTGGTCAGGATCGATTATATTGCAGATCTTTCTTTGGATTTTGTCAAGAATCTCAAAATGTACCACAGGATCACGAGAACAGATATGGCAGCAGCATCCAGTCCACGGATGGATGGTACATATATAAATGTGCAAGATGGATTCTGACAAGAAAGATTTTCTAGCACAACACGGTGACCCAACTTTCCTTGTAGTAAATGCTGCTATTGATTCTGAAATTTCTACAGATGATGATAGCAGCACTAACTTTCAAATGCTGGAAATTTGTATTTAGCACTCATGCGTTTGGAGAATACTTTTTAAAATCATCCTACTTCAGTATCTATCTATATTTCTTAGATGAGGTATTATGTACACTATTTACATTATTTGGACTATTGTCCTCATCTTTGTTGCCATATTTATTTCAACGTTTTGGCCTTTCAGTAACTGTCTATATTTCTGAGATCAGGTATTATGTACACTATTTACATTATTCAGACGATGTCCTCATCTTTGTTGCCATATTTATTACATTTCGGCTTTTCAGTATCTGTCTATATTTCTGAGATGAGGTATTATGTACACTATTTACATTATTTGGACTATTGTCCTCATCTTTGTTGCCATATTTATTACGTTTTGACCGTTGTACAAAGAAGGGCACATGGTACAGTGGATAAAGGCGTTAGTTAGATCCAGAGTCATACAGTTGGGTCATGACAGTGTTATCACAACAAAAATATTTGCTGAACTAAAACAAATTTGGCACAAGGCCAGATTTCTGGAGCTCTCAGTAAATGTCGGACTGACACAAACAACACACAATCCAGCCATTTATAAAATGCAGTTAATTGCTCACTATAAGAAAACACTATAGATGTTTTTTATTTAATAGGGAATACCTGAGAATCAAATTGTATGTGCCATGTCACTTCATGACATGGCTGATCACAATTCTATCTATTGTAGCTTCAAAGAGTGTCTCTCCCCTTTCTATCCCTACAAGTCCATTTGCCATCCATTTGCACAAACTCTTCAGGTAGCTTACATAATGTTTCCCTCTAACTTTCTGTTTATCCAGTGGATGTCAAGTTTTCCAAGCCCTCTTACCTCATTATGTGTTCCAGATATTTCAATATGTCTCATTCTTTTATTCCTATTTTATCTAACACTTCCTCATGGAGCGTGGAACCACCTCTTAATTGCTGGTGTTCCCAGGTCCATCCTGACCCAGGGTTGTAGCACCTGTTAGGGTCTCAGCTATGGCAAATAGTTAACACTCAGACTACAAATGTGTCCTGGATATGACAATAAACTACATCCATGTCCTGGGTAAGATCATAAACTATGTCCAACAGCAAGGCCTCTGATAATATGTTTTTGAAAAAATAATATTACCAGCTATACATTTTTTGAAAGAATAGTTTTGCCGGCTATACGTTTTTGGAAAAATAGTATTATCAGCTATACGTTTTTGAAAGAATAATATTGCCAGTTGTGTGTTTTTGAAAAAATGATATTACCATATATATTATACTGTTATATTTAAAATTAAATATCATTTCATCATGCTTTTTTCTGACAAAATTTTCCTTTTTCTTAATACTTGGTTTAACTTTTTGAAGGCATCTTTCACTGTTCAAATTCACCTTTGAATTGTGGTGTCATATTTTCCATCATCTATTAAAGCACTTCCCACATAGTTAAGCTTTTTACTTGCTTGATTTTGACATCACCAATTTGTAGAACTTTGGTCATTTCCTCTTTGCTGAGAATCATACATTGTTAGTCTTTTCTTTCGGTTTTACTTTTATAAGAGTTCCTGTAGTTTTCTTTCTTCATCTGCCATTAGTGTCATCTGCATATCTTACATTGTTAAAATTGTGCCCACCAATAATAAATCCTGGCAGAACGTCTCGTTCTATTAAGATTGCTTTGCTGTAAAGTTGAAATGAATCCGGTGAGATTCTCATGCCCATTTCTGCTTTTGCGTACTTAGTCAATTCATTTTCTATCGATATGTAGATAGGTTGTCCCCCAGTAAAGGTTTTGGATAAATCTAATATCTTTACCTAATAAAATTTCCTGGCAGTTATGTT